GTCTTGCAGAGATGTAAGGACACTAATCTGATGCTGAATTGGGAGAAGTTCCATTTCATAGTCAAGGAAGACATAGTGTTGGGGCACAAGATTTCTGAGAAAGGAATAGAAGTGGATAAGGCCAAGATAAATGTGATGTTACACCTAGAGCCTCCAAACTCAGCCAAAGGAATCAGGAGCTTCTTGGGACATGCTGGCTTTTATAGGAGGTTCATCAATGATTTATCCAAGATAGCAAGGCCACTAACAAGAATGCTGTGAAAGGAAACAAAGTTTGCCTTGGATCAAGAGTGCTTGCAGGCTTTCCTAACCCTCAAGAAGGCTCTAGTAAGTGCACCAATAGTCCAGACACCTAATTGGGACCTGCCTTTTGAAATCATGTGTGATGCAAGTGACTTTGCAGTTGGCACAATCTTAGGTCAGAGGATAGACAAGAAGCTGCATGTGATATACTATGCTAGTAGGACACTTGATGATGCTCAGACCATGTATGCCACAACAAAGAAGGAGCTTCTAGCAGTGGTTTTTGCCTTTGAGAAGTTCAGGAGTTATCTGGTTGGGTTCAAGGTGATTGTCTATGCTGATCATGCTGCACTAAGGCACAATTATGCCAATAAAGACATTAAATTATGACTCCTCATATGGATACTCCTCCTGCAGAATTTTGATATGGAGATTGTAGACAAGAGGGGCATTGAAAATGGTGTGGTTGATCACCTCTCAAGGTTAAGGATTGATGATTGCATCCCCATCAGTGACACTCTACCAGAAGAGAAACTGAATGCATTGGAAGTAAGGACAGATGAGGCAATGATTTTACAAGAGGAAAGACTGTCTTGGTATGCTGATTTTGTGAACTACTTGGCAGCTGGTGAAGAACCAATGATCCTTGACCCTTGCCACAAGAAGAAGTTCTTCAAAGATGTGTCTCACTAGTATTGGGATGAACCTTGTCTATACAAGAAGGGAGCTGATGGGCTGTTTAGGAGATGCATTGCAGAAGAAGAGGTCAAGGGCGTCCTCTACCACTATCATTGGTCAGCTTATGGTGGACACTTTGCCACTTTCAAGACAGCATCAAAGGTACTTCAGGCTGGGCTGTGGTGGCCAACTCTGTTCAAGGATACACAAGCCTACATTGCATCATGTGAAGCTTGCCAAAGAAAGGGAAACATCAGAAAAATAGATGAGATGCCTCTAACCCCAATATTTGAAGTTGATGTGTTTGATGTTTGGGGCATAGATTTCATATGATCACTCCCTTGTTATTATGGGAACAAGTATATCCTTGTGGCTGTAGATTATGTGTCAAAGTGGGTTGAAGTAGTAGCTAGTCCTACAAATGATGCCAAGGTTGTGCTTAAGCTCTTCAAGCCAATCATCTTCTCAAGATTTAGTGTCCCAAGGTGTGTTATAATCAAGGTATTTTAAGGGTATTGAGGTTTTCAATCAAGGTTTGATTCATAGCTTGCAACATGGCCATCATGGTTTGCATACAATCTTCTGGTGCATTCTCTATGTTGGTACCTGGCAAAAATCAAGATAAACAAATAAAAATTCTGTTTAAATCAAAAGCAAAACAGAGAAACAAAAAATTTCGCTGAAATGAACTGTTAATTTGAAACTCGATTTAAAATTAACAAATGACTTGCTAATTTTTGGAAAACAATGTTTTTATGTTTTTAAGATTTTAAATGAGCAGAATCAAAAAATAATCTATTTTTTTGAGTTGTAATAAATTCAGAGAAGATAAATAAGCGGAAGAACAATTTTTTATGAGTTTTTGAGTTTTAAATGTAACAAACTGAATGATATGAAAGTGAAATAGCAAAAACAAAATCAAAAGATGTAGATACACCTGTATAGGAGCTTTTAAGCTCTGATACCAATGATATAAGATTTGAATTCCACCAAACTTATGACACTTGAATCATACTTTCAAACTTGTTGATGGAGAGGTTGAAGATGATTAGTAACAAGTTTGCTGCTTGATTCCACAAACAACGGTTTTGAGTCTCTATTTCCCAAAGGCTCTTCCTTGCATGGGATCCTAGATTCTGCACAAGAGTTTCAAAGTTTTGATTCCACAAAGACTTACAAAACTTACAAGGACAAGAATAATTCAAAGGAAGATTTCTTTAGAAGCAAACAAAAGATTTTCGCTTTATAAAGTTATGTCAATAAAATACAGTGCTTATGAGCTTGTATAGTGCTCAAAATGTGAAGAATAAATGATAACAAAGTAATAAAAAACATGGCATAAAGTTTGGCTTGACTTGTAGCTAGTCTTTGGGTATAAAGGGGGAAAAAAGGCTTGAGGCAACGAGAGAGGGGAATGAATCTTGTGGTCTTGATATTTGTATGAACTTCCATGATCTTCTATATTGAATGGAGGGTCGAGATTTTCAAGATAAGTTGGCCGCTGGTCTTTGTTTCCTTCTGAAATGAAGTTAACATGATCAGAAAATGAAACTGTCTTCATGGTGATATCTTCTTCGGTTTGGAATGTTTTGACTTGGTAATTGGTTTGGTCTGGTGGTTTAGAGTTCTTGGTATCTTCAGAACATGCCAAGGAATGTCAATGAGGCGTGGTGATATAAGATATGGTCGAAGTTTCCTTAAATAGTTTTGAAAACATGAATGTTGGTCCATTCATGTGATTTGGTGGTTTGGTTTAGTCTTCTTGTGAATTAAACTGGACCAGCCATGGTTTAGTTTGATCAGAATGTCCTCCTTGATGCATAAAATGACATTGTTTTGTTGTTAATTAGCTCCTTTTAAAACAGCTATAAGTCTCTTTTGCTCCTTATCTATAAGCTTGCTCAGCTCCAAGTTAACATTTGAATGCTTTCCATCTTCTAAGGTAAGATGTGTGGTAATGATGTCCACATCAAGTTGAAATGGACGAATGGAGTGGACAAATAGATAGAGGTTGAAAGATATGGATGGACGAGTAATCAGATAGCATTGTGTGATGGTTTGTGACTTTGAACAATTTAGTGTGTAAACAAATATATTTATGGATGACATATCGTGGATATGTTCAATAAACATGTCAACAGATGTAAGAATATTTTTGTTTTTTTTAAAGTTCAAAGCGACTCAATTTCCTTAAGTAATTTTTTTCTGACATTTAACGTCTCCAAAATAATTTCTGCTGTAATTTTCTTTTGATTTAAATATTTAAATGTTTGCTTCTATGCTAATGAAAAATAGTTGTAATAATTCAATTGTTGGGTGCATGTTTTGTAAATAAAACAAATCTAATCTTAACCATTCAATTTTAAAACACTCTGTAATGGAACAGTGTTTTAAATTTATCCTGTAACAAATGATGATGTTACTTTTTTACAGAAATCGTAAGAATCTGAAGCGACTGCGAGAAGGGCGATTTCTGTTCCACCGCCTGCTTTCGAAGAACCCTAAATCTGTGTGATTTTTTCGACATCAAGCCTTAGATCTGCGAATCATGAGTAAGTATTAGTTTCTTTTGGTTTCAAAACGAAACCTTTTATTGAGAAACCTCACTTAACAAAATTCGTCGTGTCAATCTTCAAGCTTGTAGGGTTTGGGCGGATTCAATCTTGCAGATGCAATCCTTGTCGGGAGGGAAGCACGCAAATCGATTAACTCTTCTGGGATGGCAGGCAACGATATACTGGATTTGGGCAGAATGAAATGCAAGGCTACATCAACAAACTTTCCGGTTGACTGAAACTCTGATTACTCTCATTGACAGACAAATTAGAAATACAGTTGCAAGCTTCAGAGAAAGAAATCCAGTTCTCGGCTGCTGCAACAATGGCGCTCGACGGAAATCCCATGGTAATTAATCTTCTCTCTCCACTTTTCTCGACCACACTTTACAAATTCTATTCCAAGGATTCCAAGAAATCCGTGCTGGGCTTGGGCCTTACAACTGATTCACTTTAGATCTTTATATGTGCTGATTATTATATAGCTGATGTACTGGGCTTTTGCTCTTAAAACAACTATAGCCTTATGGGTTTGTAACTTTTGTATTTCTTGCATTAAATATGAAAAGCCCTTTGTCAAAAAAAAAAAAACCAATCCGCCGTGTCTGTAGCTGATGTCACGAACTCCGGCTCCTAATATTTCTGTCGCTGGTGTAACAGAACCAAATTTGGAAGGTGAGTAGTCGATATTAACTCTTGTTTACTCAATGGTGGTTTGTGGTTGTACTTTATGAGTCGACTTGTATAAGATTACATAATTGCATAGTGTGCAATTAGGTGAGGGTGTCGAAATTAGAATTGTCTATGTTGGTGTGAATGATCTATGATTTTGCGATGCAGATTGGGTTGGATTATGTTTTATCGTGGACAATAGCTGTCTAGTGTCCATAGAGGTGCGTTCATAAGGTTTTATCTAGTTGTGGATGTGTACATCATGTTTGGGTCAGCCGGTTATGTCCAAATATAATATGTTAAAATGAATTGCGATTTGATGCTTCGACGTGAAATGCCTTCATTAGAAGTGCAATTTTTTAGACATCCATGAATAATTATTTTTATGGATAAATGTTAACCCTGCTTCATGCATTGTGGTTGGTCCTTAATGGTCACGGTCTCCTTGTTCCATAAATGTGCGTCGCTCATCCTGTGGAGAAGGGCCTTTTTGTGGATGTTAGGTGTGTCCATTTGTTTGTGTATATATATAGTATATGTCTATTCATTAAAGTAATGTTTATATATGTTTAGAGTTTGCATTTGCTAAATATAAGTCCATTATTTGCTAAATATAAGTTTATAAACCAGATTTCTATTTTATAAAAGATAACAATGGTGGACAAAAACGCATGGACATATCTATATATTGTAATAGTGCATGTTGAGTTGGATTGATTTGTGAATGTCATTTGTTTATATTGAATATTCCTTGGTTATCATGGATTCTCTTTGATGGAAACCATGGATGGTTATCTTGGATGTGTACACGATTCTATTTTTGGACACGCGAAAGTGCCTTACTTCAGGTAAGTGCCTTAATTTGTTAATAGGCTTAGTGAAAATGCCATTTCTCATAGCATGCTCAAAGCAAAAAAATCACGTTTTCAAATGCATAAACAAACATGAGAAGAATGAAAATGTATAATAATTATGCATTCTAGCAAAGGAAATATGTTTGATCTTCTTTTATTACGGCGGCCATGCTTCGAGTCCATATATTTTGTAGCTCATTTTACCTGCGGGTGCGAAGCAATAAACTCAACAGCAAGATCAATTGACTGTATCTTATCTGCTTCTTTATCGGGTATCTTGATTCCAAACTCCTCTTCAATTACCATAACCACTTCCATTGTGTCCAAACTATCCAACCCTAGATCACTCTAGAAATGTGCCTTTGGTGTCGTCTGCAACAAAATTAAATTTCACTAACTTATGGAATCAAATAACTACATTTGGTTCCTCCTCAGATTTCAGTAATGGCAAGCTCGGACCAGAAAGCAAAGCACCAGATATGAGCAGAGGGCTCAGAGACTTGAATTGCTTTTAACTTATCGAATCAAATAACTATTTTTGCTTGCTCATATCTAAAGGAATGTCAAGTTTGGAGCAGAGAGCAGGACATAAAAGCAGAGAACTAAGATACATGTAACAATTGATTAGATTAGCTTAAGTCTTGAGCATGACATAACTCGTAACAATTGATTAGATTAGCTTAAGTCACTGAGCATGACATAACTCAAGAAGCAGCATTAAGGTCAGTATAGAAAGCCATTCGCCGTTATTGAAATACACAACCATTATATACATAATCAAAGACAAGGCTGATCAGAAAAACCAAAACTAGTATGTTCTCTAATGTTGCCTTGTTCATTTTAGGAACATGAAATAAATAAATAAAAAAGATCTTTTGGTTATCTGAAAGAAAAATAATTATGATAAAATTGAACCTTTGTGAATACGATTCCTCAATTTTATGAAAAATATAAGTACAAAATCTATCTGAACAATGTTATGCCCTTCAATTACAAAATCAATGATCACATGAAATCGGATCAACGCTATTTTAACCACTAAACTTAAGCTTTTATCATCAAATCAATGTCTATCTACTACAATGTAATGCAGTAAATACAATTGAATTCTCAATTGCTAGTTTCGAGTTTCGACACAAAAAATTATCATCCCAATCGAAAATGGAACTAAGGGTTCAAATACGGTGGTGGTAGAAGAATTAAACTGAAAAAAAAAGAGAGGAAATAATCTGAAATTTACCTTAGAAAGCTCGACTTTGGATTTGTCGAGGAGTGATCCTCTGACTTCCTCAGAGAAACGACTAAGAAGAACGTAGAAGGGAGATGCCCACTGATGGGAAGCGATGCTGGAGCTTTGAAGAGAAGGTGTGACATTGATTCTAAGGTATTTAAGCAGAGCATTTCTCGATGCCATTGCTGCAGAGAAAACCCTAAAAGCTTCTTTTCTCTCTCTTCTTAAACGGAGAAAGAGCGAGATAGAAGGTGAATTCAGTACATGAGTTGCTAAAACAATGTCGTATGTAATAACGCATTGGGCTCTTATGTGCCAATAATTTGAATCTTAAAGTCCGTTTACGAAATTGCAGGCAGGCAGACAAAAATTTTAGAAACTATTTTTATAGGCACGAATATGAGTTTTCCTCATAATTTTTTTTTTCTTTTCTTTAAGAGTAGCATGAAGATTTCTGAAAAGAAAAATATTGTTCTTCTAAAGGTTTTATAAACCATTTTGAATATTCATTATAATTTCAAACCTATAAATATATTATAATATTAGTATTCATGAAAAGTAACTTTTAAAAGCTTTAAAATACTCCCTCCATTTTTTAATGTATGATGTTTTAGTTATGACACAGATTTTAAGACATTTTACTTTTATATTACTTTTTTGCTTTCCAATATAATTATACCAATGAAATAAAAGTAAAAATAATATTTAATTTAAAATATATTAATTAAAGTTAAAACATCAAACATTTAAAAACAAATATAAATCATAAAACATCAAACAATTAAACATAGTGGGAGTATCAAATAGTCAAAAAGAAGGAAATGTGGTTCGCCTTAAATGCTCTCTTCTCGCTATTTTCTCTAAAGTAGCTGCCGCCTGTATTTCTCGGGTGGCCGGCATTTGGCTGCTTCTTTAGAGTCAACGTTAGCCCCTTTCCTTTGCTTTTCTCTGTCTTTTTTTGGTCTTTGTTTTTCTTCTGTTTTGTATAGGTTTGTTCTGATTTTCGGAAGAGTGTTTCTTGTAGGGCTCCTTCTTAAGCGGCAGTCGTGTTTAGGTCTAGGTTTCTGTGAGGTTGGGGTGTCGGATATGTTGGATTTACGGCTGGATCTTTTTTTTTTGCCTTTTTCTTTCAGTTCATCTTTAGATCTATTCATTTTAGGTTGTCTGTCAATTCAGGCTGGTGCTTTCTCTGCGGCTGTTGTGGGCTTTTGCCTACCATCGCTATCTCTTCACGGCTGGTCTTTTTCTCTTTTCGGGTCAGATCTGTCTGATCTCTGCTTGTGAATCTTTTCTGATCTAAGCATAGGTTCAGTCAGTTTCTGGGGTTGATTTATGGTTTTGTTCTTGCAGGTTCAATTTCTCTTTATTGAGGGTGGGTGGCTCGCTATTTCATAACTTTGTCCGCTTCTTTGTTCTTGTTGACGTGGTCTGCTTACTGCGGGATGGTGTGGGCTTCTTTCTTCGTCTTTTGTCCATTGCTCGAGGAACTCTGATCTTTCTTTCAGGTTTCTGTCTAAGCATCTACCTGTCCTTAGACATCTCTGTCCTCTGACATTGCTGTTTCTGGGAGATTTCAAGATGCAGCTCTTGCTTACCGTTTTTGCTTGCCGTTTCATGAAGCCTTGGTTCTGTTACTGTTACTGACGTAGAATAAAGTTTATTTTCGTTGTTTGGCTTGTGCATCTTGGATACTGTCGAGCTTAGGGTCCAATAAGTTTTATTTCTCTTGCAAGATTGAGGTTGTAATTGTTTTTCGGTTTAATTGCAGGTTCCTTTCTTGTTCTAGTTTCAGATATATAGAGTTTTAATTTTGGATTTCGCCTTAGAATCCCTAAAATGTATTTTTTCCTTTCTAATAAAATTTTCAGATGACAGAAAAAGCTTTAAAATATAGTTTTTTCTTTCAAATTATCAATCTTATTTAATAATGTAAGATTTTGTTTTTAGAAGAGTTTTTGATATGCTGTCAAATGTCATCTAAAAAACTGACATGCATTATTCTTTTAAAAAAATATTTCTATTGAATTCTCTTTTATCAAATAAACACAAAACAAGTATTCAGTTTTTTTTCCTTTCTCCAAACTATTCTCTTTTATCCAATAAATGAAAACGAAAATAAAATCACTCAAACAAATATATTAAGGTTATATGTTATTTTTTATATAATATCTTAAGTATCTTATCTAATAAAATAATTATTTTTTTTAGAACTCTGATATGCTCCATATGTCATCTAAAAAACTGACATGTATTATGCCTTCACACAAAAAAGAAAAATGTGCAATAGAAATTTCATAACAATCTATAAATAGGAAGAATAATACAAACACAATTTACTTTTATTACCACACAAACTTCATATAATATAGTAATGATTTTTTTAGAAAAGTTTTGATATGGCACTTCAGAATTAGATATGTGCCGTACTTTCACATTTAAATTTGAACAAAAAATGGTCAAAAAAAAAGCCAACTACCCTTAACAAAATAATAAAAACAATTAAATACAAAATGATAAAATCTGCAATAAAGATTATACAAAAATATATAAATAGCAAGAATAGTACAACAATCTACAAACACAACTCACTTTTATTATCATACAAATTTCAATAGAATATATATTATATGCATTATACATCATTAGAAAATGTAACTCATTTGGGCTCCATCGTATCTGTAAACCAGTTGTGTTTTTATCGAAAAAATCACCATATTGTTATTAGAAAATATATTTAGTTATCTAAACTAACGGCTCCGTCTAAATAATATCGGCGCAACCAAAAAACTAACTTGATAGTTTAATGTGTTAAAAATTAGTTTAAATATTTAAAATGTTAATTAAAAAATTTCAAAATCTAAAGTGTCAGTAGCTGACACTTTAAAAAAAATTATGCGAATTTTCCTATTTTTCATAATAGCATGTGAATTAGTAAATCAGATCCTCAAATATTTGTGTCCACCATAAGTGAGAATATTCATTTAGCTATGGTTAACTTTGCAATATATATAATACTAGGTGTTTCTCCGCACCTTGTGCGGGGTCCAATCATTGGGGCAATGTGTAATATCGTATCTAGGTGTTTTTGCGCACTTTGTGCGGGGTTCAATTAAAACTTTTAAAAAGTATAACATTAGTTTATTTATGGATAAAAAAATCAGATTTTATAATGATTCAAAACCAAAATTAATATATTTGAAAAAATACAATTTTCATGAGTATATTATTTTTTTGTGACAAAGCAAAATATATTATTTATATCTTATTTTCTAATATCTTTTATACTATCCGATAAAAACTTATATATATGCTTTGTTGTTTTGTTGCATTTATCAAACATGAGAAATCATTTTCTTCTTTTGATATAAATTGGTAGATTAAGATTAATGAAGTTCAAATTTTTCATAAAAAAAAAAACATAGCAATCCAAAATGACCAAAACCAAAGGATCCTTGTTTCATATCAACTTAATTTAAATTAATATATATAGAGTTTTAAAAGGGTTTAAATGATTTAGAGTTTTACTTGTGGTCGCATAAATCAATTATGTTAGTCAAAAATATTAGTAGGTTAAACAATCAAATTAAAATTAGTTAAATAAAATAATTAGGATTTTTTATTTATTTATGCTAGTTACCTTTTTTAGTAAACTGAATAATTTTATGTTATAAAATCGAATTTAGAAATCTAGATTTTACAAAAAACAAAAGTTAACTAAAAGCTAGATTATATTAATTTGTTAATTTCATAAAGGATAATTAATTTAAATTCACATAAGGGGCAAAATGTAATCAACCATCATAACTCTCAACCGGAGCCTTGAAATAGTCATCTGAGATTCATTCGTACAAGGAGAAACATCTATTACTTGTATCTCAACTTGCTTATCAACTAATAACTAGTCTTTTAATTCGCGCTACGCGCGAGTCTTTATTAATAATTTGGTTTAATTTTTTGGCAAATATCTTTTAAATTATCAAAACTATAATATATTTGTAGAAACTTTCTTTTATATAAGAAAATTAAAACAAAATATGTAGTATTTCCTATTTTTGTTTATAAAATAATAAATCTTATTAAGTAAAATCATAGTAATGACACCTAACGAATTATCCAACTTCGATGTGCATATGTTTGATTTAGAAAATGATTTTCTTACTAAATTTTTGGTGTTTTGTTTTGTATCCTTATGATTTCTATGGTTCTTTTTTTAAAAGGTTTATATGTTTAAATATTTAGTTTCTTTACTAAATATCTCACTAATGTTGTGTACATATACATATATAATATATGATATATATTGAATCAGATTTACTTTTGTTAGTAAGCTACACTAATCGTGTAAAGCTGCTTTTTGCTTCTCCATCAGATCTTCTACGAATTTTAGGTTATATCTCTATTCAGTTTATAAGATCTGTTTTATTTTCAGTCAACTATTTGCTAATATTTGTTTTAAACATGTAAGATGATGTTGAAATTTCACATTATCACTGTTTTTTTTTTATATCTTTTGTGTGTTTATTCATGTTTTTATTTGAATATTTTATCTTCATATATTCTCATTTGAATTTGATTCATAACTTTGTCATATTATATTATTTAAATAAAATTTTAGAGGATGTTGCTCATGTGTTTTTCATGTTGACTAAGTTGTAAGTAGTAAATATGTATACAAATCAGACTTTCTTGCTTATTATATTTTGAATGTAAAGTTACTTGTGTAGTATTTTACTTTGTTAATTTTTCAACCAGACGCAACCAAGATATTAATCTTTGTAAATTTAAATAATATGTTTGATTTAGAAACTTGTATAACCTATTAAAACATTATATGGTTATTCATAGTCAACACCAATATTTTAGAAATCATGAATGTTTTTAGAACTATATTTCAAACTAATTTTCTTCTTAGATCTTGTTTTTTTGTTATTTTAAATATCTTCAATGGTAATTTTATATTTTATTTTAATTATCTAATTTTCTGCAGGTTTGTTATACTTAAAACATATATATTTTTAATTAATCTCTTTTGTTATTGATTTTTCAAATAGGTAGCATATATATTAATCTAATATCTTTTACATAAATGTTTTTTCTTTGTTAAATTTACTTTTTAAAATAATTAAAATGCTATTTTGACATGCTATAACTAGTTATTCTAAATTTTAAGTGAACTTCTCTCAAAAGCTTATACTAACATTTGCTTTTTTTAGTTAATATTTATTTGGTAGTTAGCCTAAATATCAATCTAGTTTTACTTTATACGACTTTTTCTTTTGATAATTTACCTCTCTTGATATTGATTTTTATTTTATTTTAACACACCATTGTTTTTAAAATATTGATATTTTGAAGACATAAATTGTTTGTTAGTTAAATATTTTTATACGAATTTTTTAAGTAGTTAGTCAGATATCAAGTCAATATATTTTAAGTGTTTTTAAAAAAACATTATTTTGTAAAACTTAATTTTCGTTTTAGTTTTATAGTTAATTAATTTCTCAATATTGATTTCTTAAATAATTATCTTAACTATTTATATTAATTTTGTAAGTTAAGTTTTTTAGTATTATTTAAGTTTTTGTATTCTCTTACTTATTCTGTTTATATTGATTTTGTTAAATAAATAACATAGATATTAAGTTAATATCCTCTTTTTTGTTAATTTAACTTTTTCGATATGGACTTTCATTTTAATTGTATTGACATGTTGTAAGAAATAATTTATTTTTTGGTTTTTGTTAGTTAAACATTTTTTATATTGTTTTCTTCAGTAATTAGCGTAAAGTATCATTTTTGGTTTGTTAAGATTTTTGTGTTAATTTTTTTAATATTTCCCCAAAATTATAAGTTTTAGATGACTTTCTTTTTTGATAATTTAAAATGAATTTTTTTTGGTAGTATTGATATTTTAAATAACAATTTATATGTTTATATGAAAATTTAAATAAATTACTCATTTAAAATATATATTCTAAATGTTTTTTTTAATTTAACTTTTTCATTATTAATTTAAATATTTTTTTTGTTACTTAGTTTTTGTGACAGTGAGTTTCCATTTTATTTTCGCAATAGATTTAGACTTTTGACATAAATTTATTTTATTTAATTAAAAATTATCTTAATTCTCCATTCTTTTGTGATAATTTTAAATTTTTGTATGTTTTAATTTATTTAAATTATTAATAATATTTTTTATTTTTTTATGTTTGATGAAAAACGCTGATATATACTAATCAGATTGAGTATATAAGTCCTATGTGGACGTTCTCATTGGCTTAAGACATCAACACGGACCACAACTAATATATTTTAAGTTAGCAGTTCAGATTTTAATTGTTTGTCGTGATTAAAATTTTAAAATAATTTAATTATGGTTTTAAATACAGTTTTTAATAATTTTGTTTAATATATATGATTTTTCTTTCATAATCTATTTATATGTTAATTTACCTTTTTATTGTTAATAGAAAAATAGATCTATTTTCAAAACTTTTTTTTATTAATAACTAACTTAAAATTTAGAAATTTTCCTAATAACAACAAAAACAAAATTAATTAAAATTTAGATATTTTCTTTATAACAATTAAAATGAATTAATTAATTTTAATATATAATTTATAATTAACTAAAGAAAATGATGATGTGTACCAATAGAATTGAATCTTTAAATCCTATGTGGGCACCCATTTAGCATCAACTTTTATTAGTAACTAGGTGGTTTTCCTGCACCTTGTGCGGGGTTCAAGTAATTTAAAAAAAAAGTTAACATTGGTTTATTTATAGATGAAAGAATCTGACTTTATAATTATTTAAAATCAAAACTGATATATTTTTTAAAAATACAATATACTATGAGATATATTATTTTATGACAAAGTGAAATATATTATTAATATCTTATTTTCTGATATCTTTGATATTATCCGATATAAAGTTATATATATGTTTTGTGTGTTTTTATCAAACATGATAAATAATTTTTTTGGGTGTAAATTGACAGACTAAGATTAATGAATATCAAAGTTTGCATCAAACAAAAAAGAAAACATAGCAAACCAAAACCAATGGTTTTATATTTTATTTCAATCTTTTGTATGTATTTATTTACCAGCAAAGACAAAAATAAAAATCAAACCTTAAGAAAGCATAAGCAGCATAGCATAACATGTAATTATATTAATTGTACTGTTCAAGAGATAAGACACCTATTGGTACTCTCCCTCTCTCTTTACGTCAAATTCAGGTGGTAGTAGTTTTTTTATACAAAGGCAGTTCAGGTGGTATGTGTCCTCGATCGACTCTAATTTGTTGACCCTTTATATAAACTTGTAGCTGAGCGGATCCCGTCAGATTGTGACATTCTGATGCTGCAAGAGCAGAAACACACATGTTTATTTGATTCGTTGAGGATTCGTAAAGTTCAAAATAAGTGAGACTTACCTCCAAGAATTTATGCAATCCCAAGCCACGTGGTTATGGAGAAGAAGTAACAAATTCGGTTATTGTTGATGGGTGCCTTGAAGTAAACCAACTCGGATGTTAATGACTGCTGCTTTTCTTCCACCAAACTAAAATCACTTGGTCTGTCAAATAGGCTGCCATTATAAAGTTGCGCTCTACAATAACCGCGGCTTTCTCCATGCGTAAAAGATGCTGCCTTATGCATGGAGAAAGCCGCGGTTATTGTAGATACTCGGTTGGCTCATCAATCAAGTAGATACTTACGAGTTGTAAGGAAAAATCGTGTGTGTGTGTGTTTCTAGATAAGTAACCAATGCACAAATACTATATGAGTAATTCACAATCACTACCCTCGAAGTTCCAAAAATTGGACACTAATGGATCCACGAACCTTTGACCTAGACTTCAAAGAACATTGAAACAAACTTTTACTGATTTCGAGAGAGATAGAGAGAAAGATCAAGTGTTTGCCTGCTCTTTTCTCTTCTTTCTTTGCCGTCTCTGTTTTTCTTTTTAGACTCAATGATGAAAACGATCCACCATGTTACATATATATCCTAAAAAAGAGAAAAATTATTATTGGATCTAATACTACGAAAAAAACAAAAATCAGAAATAACCAAAAAACCGTCCTTATCCTTTCAGCAAGCAAATAATCAATTTAGTTTTATACGGATTTCAACTTTCATGATTAATCTTAATCAATTGTATATACTATGAAAAAATTATTAACGGTTAAAACAGTTGCAATTTAGAAGGATATTAATGTCCATGAGCTATGGAATACATGATAAAACTACCACACAATCAGTATTGTGAGACCTAAAATCCAATGATCAAAATTAACATTGAACATGCACTCGTCACAGCTTTGTGGATATGCATATCATATTTGTTAGTCGCTTTCCGTTGAGTATCATCCCAATATATAGAAATTAGGAAACACATCTTTGTCTAAAGAAGAATAGAAAAATCAGCTAACTTACAAATAGCATCAACATTGCAGAACAAAGTAAATACATATAATAAGAATGTAGAAGCTTCCAGAGCTCTTGCTTTTTCTCTAGGAAATATCTGTCAAAGATATCAGTAGTAGGAGTAAACAATATTTTGAAACTGTTGAAGATCTGAATAGTTCAACCTCTCTAGGCATTGATGAAGCAGCCATTAACCATAAGAATTTGCAGGAAAAGGGTGGAGGATTAAGCTGAGTCTTAACCCTAACATGAGGATATTGATTACAACAAACAACCTCATAAACAATATCAATACTCAAACAAAACTGTTGTGAATAAATCTATAAACAGATTGTGGTCACTTGGTAAGAAAGGACCGATCACAAGCATAACAAAAACCGAGAAGAAATCATAACATTTTATTTGAATTAATACAAAACAGAGAAAACTCAACTAACCTTTTCAATATTATTGATTATGCAGCCATATATGTAACTCTTTTCAACGATCGTAATATATATACAAAAGGATTAGGGTTTATAAAAATAAAAACACAATCACTAATCTAATAAAGTTTGGTTGCAAAGAATATGTAATTAGGTTTAGGTAAAAATAAATATCACAATTTAATATTAGTAAAAATAGCATATGAATTTCTAAAATTAATATGAAACTAAATTATTTTAATTAATTAATTTTATTAAGGGTAATTAAAATAAATTTATCAGAAGGACAAAAAATAATCAATAACTTTCAACCACGGCCAAACCATTAATAATATGATAGATAGATATGATTTCGTAAAAGCGTGTGAAAATTTTGATTAATTCCAATTTCAGTTCAAATCCCACATAGATCTCTGTTTCTCAGCAGCGTCGCTAGGATCATTCATTCACTCAGCGATTCTTCCAATGCTTTTCTGAATCGTAAGGATTTTCATCTTCTCGGATCTCAACGACTCATTTTCTCAGATTCGCTCTTTCCCAAGAAATTGAAATTGAAACAGATTTATCTTCTTCCTCGCGAAACAGATCTGTACTCTCGCATCACTCATGGGTTTGAAATCAAACCCTGCGGGTTTCATCACCCGCCTGCTTCTCGTCTCCACCATATTCTTCTTCATCTTCGCTTCTGCAATCTCAGCGCAGGTACACGATTTGTTTCCTCCATGGATGCGTCATTTCAAATGCTATCGAATTGATTCGATTTATTATGTATTAACGATTTTGCTCCTTTTACTAGGATTCGTTGGTTGATAATGAGAAGCAGGAATCAGAAGGATCTGGTAAAGAGCTAGGCCGTCGTGGAATGGTAATTTAATATCACTTATTAAGCTCGATCTGCCTTTTTTCTTTTTTTTTTCGAATCGGAATCTCTTTAGATGCGGAATCTGGAAATTATGTTCATAGAATCTTTATATGATTTTCCAGATTGGCGCTGAACGAATTGGACTTGATGATGCTGGCGACAAACTTGGTGCTCTTGGTTTAAACCTCGAGTCCACTGGCCCTGGTGTGTTTGATGCATTGTTCTCGAGTTTCTCCATGATTCTTGTGACCGAGGTTCGAGCTACTTGTTTTCAATTTTGCTGGATTCGCCATTTATGTTGATTTTGCTTAATAGAACCAAAGTTAAACATGTTTCGAGTGTAATCTTTGTCTCTCGTCGTATGTCAGATTGGAGATGAGACGTTTATAATTGCGGCACTGATGGCTATGCGGCACCCCAAAGCTACTGTGTTGTCTGGTGCATTGTCAGCTTTGTTTGTTATGACAGTAAGTGCAAGATTACTTGTATATTCATTGCGTTTTATCCATATTAGTTTCTCATCTTTCTGTAGAAATTATTTTTTTATGTTTCTCATGTTTAATTGTTATGATTCTCCTGAATTTTCCATTTAGATACTTTCCACTGGACTTGGTAGGATAGTGCCAAACTTGATATCGAGGAAGCACACCAACAGCGCCGCTACAGGTATGTAGTTCTCTTATATGCTGTATACAGCGTCTAGTATACTATATAGTTATGAGTTTTGTGTTCCAAAAATGTATTGATTAAAGTTTAAAAGTTATGCAATCATAGATTAGTGCGTCTTGTGATCATATTTAGCAAAGATTCTACTAGCTTAAAAATCTTGAGAGCGCTAGGCAACCTCTAGTGTACTATATTGGTTATGAGTTTCATCTGTATTATACTTGGCCTCCGTATATCTTGGTATATAAGTTTATCCGGCATTATAAAAAATGTAAGGATTTTTGAATATCTAATAGAAAGGTAGCTGTCAAAAATGATTTCTTCATGTTTCCTTATGAGTTCGTAAAAAATTCATGTTGTATACTTGTATATTCTATACTTATATTGGCATTGTTGGCTCTTACTTCATTTTTTTTTTTTTTATCTGAGTGAGTCTCAGTTGAAGGATCTTACTTCTTTGAATATGCAGTTCTCTATGCATTTTTCGGTTTGAGGCTACTCTACATTGCTTGGAGGTCTACTGATTCAAAGTCAAGCCAGAAGAAGGAAATGGAGGAAGTAAGTAGTTCTCAAGCTACCCTATGTTGCTTTTTAGAGATTTTGCCTAACGTTCTTATTAGTTGTTCACATTTAAAGTTATTAATATTTTTCCATTCTTTGTTCCTGAACTTGTCGTTTATAGTTGTTCCCTTAATTTGAAACTATGACACTGACTATCTTCCCATTATCTGTGGTAAAGGTTGAAGAGAAGCTTGAGTCAGGCCAAGGAAAGACACCCTTCCGTCGCTTTTTCTCAAGATTCTGTACTCCAATATTTCTAGAGGTATTCTTATACTGCACACATTGATTCTTTCGGTTGTGTTGTTTACAGCCAAAATAATCTCGATTCCACAAGTAAAACTATATACTGTAGTTACTTAAGATTGATTGGTTTATATTTGCTTTTCGAGTCTGTTGTTTACATTTCAATTTATTTCTGTGACATTGTCTTCTTTTTTCTGTGCAGTCCTTCATCTTAACCTTTCTCGCCGAATGGGGAGACCGTAGCCAGATTGCTACAATAGCTGTAAGAGAAAAGTTCCTTTCATCACTTCAAATCTAACACTTTACATTGCTTGTCCCTAAGATTAATTGTTGTGTGGTTTGAAACAATCTACTTTTTGTTGTGTCTTGTGAAGTTGGCGACACACAAGAACGCAATAGGAGTAGCCATAGGAGCATCAGTAGGACACACGATCTGTACATCACTGGCGGTTGTAGGAGGAAGCATGTTGGCTTCAAGGATCTCACAACGCACTGTCGCTACTGTTGGTGGCTTACTCTTCCTTGTCTTTTCAGTCTCTTCCTATTTCTATCCTCCACTATAGTCAAATTTGCAAAATTTTCTGCAACGTAAATGTGCTTTGCGAAAATGGGTGTTAGAGAGACATTATCTTAAGTAAAGTATTTCACTGTCTTTTTCGTTTTCCTTTGATTTTTGTATGAGTTCGATTGATAAACCAAGTAAAATCCAAAGCCCAATGCTTTTGCTTCAATTGTAACACACTTAGTTTAAGTAATTTTTGAATGATCCTTATTATTTTTAGCGAAGTTTTTGTTTTCACAATAACTATAAAATTCAGTTTTACTATTTACAAGCATACATCAATGACAATAGGAGATCGATCTACGAACACCTAAAAACATTATAATACATATTATGGGGAAGACTGGTTTTTTAGATTTTAAAAGAACTAGTGCCAAAAATAAATTGCAAATTAAGGGGAAAATTTTAACTATTATTTGACAAACATGTTTAATGAAAAATTATGATCGGTCATCACCTTAGTAAAAGTAAATTAATGGTGATATATAAATGAAAAAGAACTAAAAAAGAAGAGAGAAGTCAGAATGGATATCTCAACTCATATCATGAGAATCTAATTTCTACACATGTTTCATTTTTATTGGTTTAATTTATTTTTAATTAAAATTTAATTATATAACTAAATTATATTAGAAAGCCTGTGTTATGACCTCGGTATGGTTTATCAGTTTTGAAAAATTCAAAGAGAAAAACATATCTAGTAATTGGAGATTATGTCAATTGATGTATTCAAGGAGTACAATGTCAAAGCCAAACCCTGTTAGAAGGTATTGGATACCCATAAATTGGTATCTATTTGTAGAAACATAACTTCATCAAACGAAAGTATTAGGTTTTATGATGATGTGTGTAATTACGTGCTTCAGCCAAGAATTGCTAGCCAGCCACATTTGCATCATAGGGAGATTACATACAGAGAAGAAAAATAACGAATTTGTTTTTTCGTTAGCAAGTACAATTGACTTGTCAAATTCACTTTTCATCATATTGTCTCTCTTAATATATGGTGCATATATTGCTTATGTAATAATTTATTTTCTAGAAATTTTGTATATCTGACTTTGTAATCTCTGTTTAGTATCAATGAAATTGTTCTGACAAAAAAAAAACTAAATTACATTAAATTATTATTTTTATAACTAATGTGGATGAACAATCGTTCGTCTCTCTTCCCAATTTCTCTCCTTTCTCTCTCTAGCTTCACTTTTGCCATCGTTTCCTCTCCAGTTTCTGGCATCTTTCGTCGGAGCTGGGAGAGGCACCTTGTATTTCTTTTGCCCATTTTTTTCTCTTTCTGGCTGTTTGGCTGTTTTAGATCGGTTTGGTTCTCCGGCAAAGCAGTTTCGTGACGACATAGTTTTCAAAGGCACATGCTCTTTGCAGATCCAGATCTGGAGAAGCTTCCTCAAGGATTTTCTGCCAGAGATCTGTGTCTGATCCTCTATCCGGTTTTGGTGTTGGGTCGTCGGCGAAGCGGTGGTGGCGTGAAGCGGTGAAGATGAGTTTAGAGTAGCTTGAACTGCTGGTGACTGATGAGTAAGCCTACTGCTCTTAAGGATGGTGGTGGGTCTTGAAAGGGGTCCTGGCGGCGGCTGACTACAGCAATGGAAGCTCTCTGACAGCGTAAGGCGTGGTACGGTCTTTTCTTCCACTTGCATCGTCCTTTTGCGACCGGCTACTCTTTCTCCAAATCTCCCTTCTCAAAATTGCTTTAACTTCTTTTTCATCTCGCGGCGTCTTCGTGCGGTGACTGGTGGCGTGGTAGGCCTTTTCTTCTACACCGGGTTCTCCTCTGGCTTCATCGGCTCCTCTTCCGGTTGGTGGCGATTTTCGCTATGGCAACGATGGATTTCTAACTCCTGGTGGCGGCGGCGTGGTTTTTAGTCGCAGCTTTTCTCCTAAAGTTTTTAGTTCTAGGTTTCCAGTTTATGAGCTTTTTCTGCTTTGGTTCAGTTTTCCAATCAGGCTTAGAGATTCTTTTCATTGGGCTTTGTATTTTTTTTTTCTTTGCTTTTACGAGCTTTTTAGTTTAATTTTCTTGTTGTATGTTGTAATTTGTAATTTAACAAAAAAAAACTCAACTTAATTGGACACCAAAAATATTTTAATATGAAAACTCTTTTACAAAAAAAAATATTAAGATAATAAAAAAAAAATGAGAATTAAAATGGGGTTCTTATTTGATATACTTATGAAAGAATCCTTTACAACATGTGTCTTTTATTCATTAGCTCAAAGTTTTTATTTAAATTAAAATCAAATTCTAATTTATAATTGTGTTAAAATAACAATATTTTTTTTGTTTAAAAACTCTAAAGAGTATTTTACCATTGAGAATGCTTTTAGAACTGCATCTTAACTTAAACAAATATTTATCATTATATTATCAGCATATTTTTTATTTTTTTAATTTTTATTATGTTATTAAATTGTAGTAATATTAAATTATTAAAGACTTAAGTTTAGACACTAAATTGATGAAAGTGCTGTAAATATGCAAAAAAATCACATAACTTATAAGCAGTTTTGTTATTTAGTCATATATTTATACTTTAACAAAAAAAAACTTATAAGCAGTTTGTTTTAATTCAAACGATGTCCTTTTATTTATTTAGTGTCAAAATGACATCGTTTTATGTGAAACCATGATTTTGCCTTGCTGTATAAATCAACGACGTTTTCAACGTGACGGCACATCACAATAGTTGAAAGAATTAATAGTACTGTTTGGTTGATTATATGTTTAAGTACAAAAAATATAAATTAAACATAAAATATGAATATTTATTAAGTTAAAGTATAAATAAATTAGCATGCTGTTCAGAAAAAGAGAGTATAAAGGGTGATTTTAATCTATATCTCCAAATAATGAGTAAATAAAAAATATGAAGCAAATAAATGAAAATTAAATCAATACATATTATGTTTACATATTATTCCGTATCTACATTTATAAAAGTAATGACGATGACTTGTTTTGTTTGATGTAGTTTTAAGAAATAACTATTCGATTATCATGCTAACAAATATGATATCGTGATAACTATTAAATATCATACTAACTAATATAACGTTCAATCATCATATTATGTAAACATCAAGTTAACAAGTTGTCATATAATAAAAAATGAAATTATCACGTTAACAATGTTATCATATCAAAAAATTATTATATTAATCTAGTGAGCATGATAACTATTGTGCTAATATTGTTATCATTTCATGAAAATATGAGTTAACTTTGTTAACTGTATAAGTTAGCAAAATTATGTTAATAACCATTTAATTCACTGTCATCAGCAATTATTGCTAACGCCATTGTTAGCATCATCTATCATCTTCCCCCATGATCATCCACACCTCCTCCACTATCACCGATCATCACCAACACCACCACAAACATCACCCCCATCATCGATCACCACCACCACTACCACCACCATCACCGACGACTCCATCATCACCACTGACCACCATCACTATCGGCAAAACCACTACTACCATCGATAATAATCACCAAAATTATCGATCGAAGCTAAAGATGAGATGAACAAAAAATCAATTTGTTTGTGTTAATTAGGAAGAAAGAGAAGAGGTAATAAAGACATTTTTATTTAGCTAGAAAAAGAGAGAAATGAACCTTTACTCCTACTTAATTATGAGGTTATCTGAGGCTAGTTATTATAATTTCTCTATAAATTAGCATAATTATATAACTCATATATTGATTTAACATTTACATAGACTTTGGCCATGAAATATCCAATTTTCCTCAATTGTAGACTTTGGCCATGAAATAGCCATTATTTATTCGGGACTTGCTTAAAAAAAGGAAAAAGTATTATTCGGAACCCATGATTGGGCCAATTTCAATGGGAGAATACAACTATTGGGTCATTTGCTATTACCTTTTACCGTTTAATGTGGAAACAGCTCTGTATATACGAACGACAAACAGCTGCTGAGACTTCATCTAAGGCCGCTGGAAAGAGAACAGCTAAGGATAAAAGCGCCAAGCAGAGAGGCAAGGGAAAAGCTGTTGAGGAAGAAGTTCCACCCATGAAGTACAGTGCTAGGGAACTCAATGAGGGATTCAGTATATGCACCTTCAAGCCAACAAGATACCCATGCACCTCCATAATGAAGGAGCTGGGGATCTATGAAGACTGCATCTGCACCTTTGAATAAATGGGGCTTGCAGAGCTATTACAGCCTCTCCCATCCTATGAGCGTTTCACTCATCAATTCCTCTCCACCCTCAAGGTTGTTTATTATGAGAAGAGTGAGCTCCCTGACCATGATGGATGGATCTCTTTCAAGCTTGGAAAACAGAAGTTCAAAATCACAAATCAAGAACTCTCTAGGGCGCTTGGGCTTAGCACCTACTTTCAAAGAGGGAAGAAGTTCTTAATCCATGAATCACAGTACACAAGGTTTTGGGAGATAATTGGAGTATGGGAATTCAAAGCTGGAGCTACAAGAAACCAATACTTGAATCATCCTGCTGTTAGATATACACACAAGGTGCTTGCAAACACATTCTTTGCAAGGAAAGAAATCTCACACCTAACTGGCAAGGAGAGAGATTTCCTCTACAATGGATTGTACACCGGTCCAGGCACCAGCAGATGTGCAGTGCCTGTTCATCCACCAAGCAAGCTCCCATGCCTTGTAAGACTGTTGATGGAGCAGCTGCAAACATACCCGAGCTGGATTATCAACAAGGGAAGAAGGGAGAAGAATCCACAACTGAACATTGGAGGAGTTGTGACAGCAATTCTCATGGCTTGTGATGTGAACCTTGAGGAGCATGCTGAAGATGCTCTAGCTCCTATCTGGATAAATATGGAGTATCTGAAGAGAAGTCATTTTCTTGAGAAGAGTGTTCAGGGCAAGTATGTTTACCAATTCCTCAGCAATCACTTAGAGCAAGTGAGAGTCCTTCTCCCAAACCCAAGGCTAACCTCCTTCACCACAACAACAAACATCAACTTCAACTTGAGTGAGGAGGAGCTCTACACAGGCGGCCCTATTCCTACAGAAGGAGAAGAAGAAGACAGTGGAAAAGAAGAGGAGCACACTGAAGAAATTAGAGAAGAAGAAGAAGAAGAAGATCAATGGAATGCTACTGCTGGCGCTGAAGGCCAGAGAGGAACATATGAAGAAGATGAGCTTGAAGAAGAAGAAGCGTTGAACTACAGCTCAAGGCAGTTCTACTTCCAGCCCTATGAAGCTCCCAACCAAGGAAGCT